GTTTCGGGGGGGGGGGGGGTATTCTTAATAGAGTTTTGTTTACTTATATGTGTGCATTCCTATTCATCGTTGCACCTTTTGAGATATTAAATGAGATATTATTACTTTAAAAAAAAGGGGGGGGTATTCTTAATAGAGTTTTGTTTACTTATATGTGTGCATTCCTATTCATCGTTGCACCTTTTTTGGCACATTCATTGTATTATCATCAACTGTGTAACGGTACAAGCAAAAACATTGCTCTGTAAGTTAACGATTTTAATTATATTTCTATTTATTTTGTAATATTTTGTATCTCAGATGGATGGAACATCGGAGTTTTATGTCATATGAATTGAATGTTGGAGTTGTATGTCAGATGTATTGAACATTGGAGTTGTAACTGAGATGGTTTGAGCATTGGAACTGTTAGATATAAATCCGATGTTTCTAATGATTAAAGATTTTTATCACCATCTAAGTATTAATATAAATCTTTTAATGGCGTGATAACTGTTTCTTTGTTATAATCCTTTGTACCAACTTTGTCCATGTGTTTCTCTAGGCTCAATCTTTAGAATGCTAATTTACCCAGTTCACTTCAATCTATCAAATATGTATGTATGGCATCTTTCCGTCTGCGGGAGACGATAGATTATCTTTATTGCTTGCAGCTCTTGCTGTGGCTGGTGAGACCAATCCTCGAATGGCAGTCTCTGTTACATTTCCCACACACGAATGTGGTGGAGCAGTATTTACCGGCCATCCTCCTCGCTCTTTTTGCAGTTGTTTCCGCCCTGTTTTGCTCCTCGGCATGTAGTGATCCTGCCTTCACGATGCCCCGCCATGAGGATCGATCCTCTGCCAGCTCCTCCCAGTTTGAGATGTCGATGTTGGCCGACTTCATGTCTCTTTTGCATATGTCAAAGTATCTCAGACGAGGCCGTCTAAACTGACCTTTTCCCTGTCGCCAGCTCGCTGTATGCACGTCCTTTAGTATGCGACCAGGTTGCATTCGCTTGACGTGTCCAAGCCACCGGAAGCGTCTTTGGATTAACATGGCTGGGACGCTACACATGTTTGTTTCGGACAGGACATCTGTGTTGGGGACTTTGTCTTGCCATTTAATGTCAAGGATGTGGCGCAGGCATCTGAGGTGGAAGCCATTGAGCCTTCTTTTGTTGTTAGAGTATGTGGTCCACGACTCGCATCCATACAGAAGTGTGCTCAGTACGCAGGCCTGGTACACCTTCAGCTTAGTTCTTGTTGTGAGTTTGGCGTTTGACCAGACTCTTTTCTTCAGTCTGGACATAACAGTTGCGGCCTTCCCTATCATTCCACTTATCTCATCCTCCATTGAGAGGGTGCTTGATGTGTTGGATCCTAGATATGTGAATCTGTCAACAGTATCCAAGTTGTAGTCGTCGATGGCGATAGTGGGGAGGGAGTCAGCGCCCTGTGCCATAATGTTAGTTTTCTTTAGGCTAATTGTCAGGCCAAACTCTTTGCAGGCAGCGGAGAGGCTGGATACGAGGCTCTGCAGGCCGTCTGCTGTGTGAGATACCAAAATATCTAATAATAACAATAATAATAAAGATTATTTGAAAAGCACGCTTCATCCCCAAGGGCTCGAAGCGTGGTACATACCACATTGAAGTACAAAATGCAACATAACAAAAACTACATGCGAGAATACCCATTCTAAGTCTATCATACCTTGCAACCATAAACAACACAGGCCAATATACATCTATAAGATAATAGCTAGATAGACATCACCCCAGCAGGTGTTTGCGAAATAGATAAGTCTTCATATAAAGTTTTGCGATTTGGCTTATAGAATTGTAGCCGACCACAAAACATTGGATATAATTCTAAGCTTTACCCCTCACCCCAACCCCCACACAACAAGTTTAAATGCTACCAGATGCCACTGATGTTTGAATGCTACCAGATGACACTGATGTTTGAATGCTACCAGATGACACTGATGTTTGAACGCTACCGGATGACACTGATGTTTGAATGCTACCAGATGACACTGATGTTTAAATGCTACCAGATAACACTGATGTTTGAATGCTACCAGATGACACTGATGTTTGAATGCTACCAGATGACACTGATGTTTGAACGCTACCAGATGACACTGATGTTTGAATGCTACCAGATGACACTGATGTTTGAATGCTACCAGATGACACTGATGTTTGAATGCTACGAGATGACACTGATGTTTGAATGCTACCAGATGACACTGATGTTTGAATACTACCAGATGACACTGATGTTTGAACGCTACCAGATGACACTGATGTTTGAATGCTACCAGATGACACTGATGTTTGAATGCTACCAGATGACACTGATGTTTGAACGCTACCAGATGACACTGATTTCACGAACTAAAGTTCCCGATCACTGTGCGAAATGAGATTCTTAAAAATCACAGGTACATTTGGTTTTCTATTTTCTTTTGAAGTACAGAATTAGTTGGTGTAATGAATCTGCTGTCTGAAAGCGGGTAGCACTTTTGTATACTGTATTAATATAGTTCAAAAGCGTGAAAAAAAAATGTGCGGTGTCAAGGCATTAAGGGGTGGGGTGGGTCTCTATTTGTTTTGTTTTTATAAAGTGCTTGACTTGAATGCATGTTTTGTGTTTTATCAAAGTTTCAGACCCACCCCTAAGCCGAAAAAGATAAGATTTTCAAGGAGAGAATGTGCTACCGCTGTTTACATGACCTGGCGCCGTCCTATCTCAAAGCTCTCATGACGCCATATGTACCCACTAGACAGCTTCGCTGATCTGATTTTGCCTTTAGACTTACGGAAAGCTCACTTTTGCATTTGCTGGCCCAACAATTTGGAACGCCCTTCCTGTCACTCTCAGAAACAGCCAGACACTGGAGTCCTTTAAAACCGATTTAAAAACACATCTATTTCGCAGACACCTTCTGGAGTGATGTTGCCTATCATTTTTTCCGTTTAATGTATATTGGCTTGTGTTGCTTACGATTGAAACGGGATGAAAGACTTTGACTTGGTATGATCGTATGTAGTTTTTATATTGTTGCCTCTGTTTTTAAATGAGGTAAATTTTATATATTTTAATATGGTTGACTTTGTACCGCGCTTCGAGCTTTTGGGGATGAAGCGTGTTTTTCAAATAAACTTTATTATTATTATAAATATGATCAACGATTTCTTAAGGTCCATAGCCAACGCTAAGTGCCACACAAATGCATATAAAACATTGATACGAAACCTTTGCTCCCAGGTGTTGTTCAAATAGCCGCCCCCCCCCCTCCCTAAACATCTTTATGGCACGGTGGCAGTTTATTTCTTTTTACCATCCACCCAAAACCATGTCTCCGTTGTAACAGTCTTTTATTTAAGCTTAACATTATCACTATTGAAACCAGCCATACTCATACGATGTAGTCGAAAAAGGTCTCAACTAAAAAAATGAAAGAGTTGAAATGATATTTTGGAAAGCAGATTTATTACTCATCTAAATGCTGTTAGTGATCCAAGAAATACATAAAAACATTTGGACAACTTATGTTATTCGAAGATTTAAAAGCATTGTTAAAGTTAATTTTAAATAAAATGTTCCTAAATTCAATGAATAAAAAAAATATTTGAAAAAAGACAACATTTTTTCATGGCAAGAATAACCAGCTGTACATCAAGATTAGAGTTGAAATGGGAAACATCACAATGAATTCCACAACGCATTCACATTTGTTGAAAATTTTCTGGAGAGACAACAGTAAGATGTCTAAGACATCTTACGAAGACACTTTGTTTAATATGAAATGTCATTAAATAATTTAACATCCTTATAAACTCCCCTACTGAGTCGAATTTTAGTTAAGTTTGAGAACCCTCGCATTCTTGATCTTAACAACCCAATGCTTCCGTTAAAGCGTGCATTCTTACTTGACATAATCACCTGACACCTAACAAACTGCAAGGTTTTCGTATTACCAACAGCTTGGGACTGAATTAAAATGATAGTCCCACAACTTCTAAATTCGGAGACACCTCTCGGATAATTTTTTTGATTTCAACATTGTGCACTATGTAAACGTTACTTTGAACATCGTTAAAAGGGCAATGACAATTGGAAGGGTTGAGGTGCACAGTGTCTGAGCGGCTTTTGATTCACCTGGGTCGTCTGCTGGTATCCCTGAAAGACAAGAGTAAAAAAAAAATATGTAAAAATTGTTTCATCGACTTTATGTAAGAAGTACAAATTAAACTGTGACCCATAAATGGGTAATGAATATTCAGATAATAGTTAGAAACATAATCTAATTATCTCCTTATAGTCAGAGACAGTATTTTCTTATCATCTTAGATGTCGTGGGCCACTATCAAGCAGGCAAAACATGTATAAAGCAAAACAGCTGTGACATTTCTATTCAACAAATCTACAAATTCAACACCAGAATGCATAGTTCAACAAATCACGTTACTAAGACCAGAAAGTATTGCTCAACAAATCATGATACTAAGACCAGAATGTATTGTTCAACAAATCATGATACTAAGACCAGAATGTATTGTTCAACAAATCATGATACTAAGACCAGAATTTATTGTTCAACAAATCACGATACTAAGACCAGAATGTATTGTTCAACAAATTAGGATACTAAGACCAGAATGTATTGTTCAACAAATCACGATACTAAGACCAGAATGTATTGTTCAACAAATCATGATCCTAAGACCATAATGTATTGTTCAACAAATCATGATACTAAGACCAGAATGTATTGTTCAACAAATCATGATACTAAGACCAGAATGTATTGCTCAACAAATCACGATACTAAGACCAGAATGTATTGCTCAACAAATCATGATCCTAAGACCATAATGTATTGTTCAACAAATCATGATACTAAGACCAGAATGTATTGTTCAACAAATCATGATACTAAGACCAGAATGTATTGTTCAACAAATCATGATACTAAGACCAGAATGTATTGTTCAACAAATCAAGATACTAAGACCAGAATGTATTGCTCAACAAATCACGATACTAAGACCAGAATGTATTGTTCAACAAATCATGATACTAAGACCAGAATGTATTGTTCAACAAATCATGATACTAAGACCAGAATGTATTGTTCAACAAATCAAGATACTAAGACCAGAATGTATTGTTCAACAAATCACGATCCTAAGACCAGAATGTATTGTTCAACAAATCATGATACTAAGACCAGAATGTATTGTTCAACAAATCATGATACTAAGACCAGAATGTATTGTTCAACAAATCAAGATACTAAGACCAGAATGTATTGTTCAACAAATCACGATCCTAAGACCAGAATGTATTGTTCAACAAATCATGATACTAAGACCAGAATGTATTGTTCAACAAATCATGATACTAAGACCATAATGTATTGTTCAACAAATTATGATACTAAGACCAGAATGTATTGTCCAACAAATCATGATACTAAGACCAGAATGCAATGACGTATTAGTGATGAAATCAAATACTGAAGCTCATCCACACAGTGTTGGATTTATTAGGATAGTCATCTTGACTCTACATGTTTTCAGTGTTGGATTTATGTGGGTGGACACCGTGAGTGTACAAATTAACACTGGATGTGTTCCAAGTTAGGATACGCCGATTTCCAAATGTGCCTTTATCGTTACACTTTTAATCTGTTGCTATACATTCTTATTTCTGCTTGCAGTCTAGTTGTCATACAAGCTTTTGTATGTTTGTGGTGCAGTTACTACATATACTTTATATTAAAATTTGTTGCGCAGTTGCTACAAAAATTGTATATTTTTGGTGCAGCTGCTACAAACACTTTTTTATGTTTGTGGTGCAGTTGCTTCAAAGACTTCTTATTTTTGTGATGCAGTTGCTACAGAGACTTTTCTAAGTTTGTGATGTAGTTACTAGAGACTTTTCTAAGTTTGTGATGTAGTTACTAGAGACTTTTCTAAGTTTGTGATGTAGTTACTAGAGACTTTTCTAAGTTTGTGATGTAGTTACTAGAGACTTTTCTAAGTTTGTGATGTAGTTACTAGAGACTTTTCTAAGTTTGTGATGTAGTTACTAGAGACTTTTCTAAGTTTGTGATGTAGTTACTAGAGACTTTTCTAAGTTTGTGATGTAGTTACCAGAGACTTTTCTAAGTTTGTGATGTAGTTACCAGAGACTTTTCTAAGTTTGTGATGTAGTTACTAGAGACTTTTCTAAGTTTGTGATGTAGTTACTAGAGACTTTTCTAAGTTTGTGTTGTAGTTGCTACAAAGACTTTTATAAGTTTGTGATGTAGCTTGTGGCAGAAACTGTCCATTGGACATTGCACGAATTTACTAAATGTGAGCGTAGGTCAAATGCACACAAGGGGCCTCGGGTAAGAAGCAGGGGTGAAGGGTGCACACAAGGGGCCTTGGGGAAATGGGAGGGGCGCAGACTGCATATGCCCATAGTAACAACATCAAGGACTTGAAAAGTCGTTTTAAGATAGGATATTCAAAGTATATTAGGTAACACCCCGTGTATTTCACAAAGACTGAGGGCGCCAAATCGTCTTGTTATTGCGGCGGCCCTGACGAAAATTTGTTATGTATATTCAAGGATGGCTTCGCCACGGGTGCCACTTTTCCCCGGCCAGACCCTGTATACATGTATTTAAATTAAAATATTTATCTAAACAGACAACTGGTTCGTTGTTGGAGACATCAGACTGACACTTTCTTAAAGTGGGGAAACAACCAAGGGAAATCCTGATATATTAAACATTTGAGCTGTTGAGCAGAAATTGTTTGAGAACGAGCCCTCAGATAGTAGCAATAGATTTAACGAAACATTGCGGAAGGAGGGCACTTGATTAATGCGATCATTAATACATCCGCTTGTTAACCTATCTTAAAACAAGTTAACCTATCACAAAACAAGTTAACCTATCACAAAACAAGTTAACCTATCACAAAACAAGTTAACCTATCACAAAACAAGTTAACCTATCACAAAACAAGTTAACCTATCACAAAACAAGTTAACCTATCACAAAACAAGTTAACCTATCATAAAACAAGTTAACCTATCACAAAACAAGTTTACCTATCACAAAACAAGTTTACCTATCACAAAACAAGTTTACCTATCACAAAACAAGTTTACCTATCACAAAACAAGTTTACCTACGCCATATCTTTTTTTACGTACAATGGAAACGATTTGAGTTGACAACAAACAGCAGTCTTTCTTTCTCGGCCGTGTCGTCTTCGCTGTCATCACAAGGGGCATCTGTCACACACTGGCGTAGAGCCAAGAGATCCTTTCTGAAATAGAGTCTAAATATTTATACGCCTGGCACTGCAACCGTGGATTATTACCATTATTATAATCTACAGTGACTGGGGACTCTGCTTATTGCACTCATTTGATGACTTGTTTCCGTTTCATAAATTTGCAGTTATTATTTTTCTGTAGTCAATAAAACAAAAAAAAAAAAAAAAAAAAAAAAAAAAAAAAAAAAAAAAAAAAAAAAAAAAAAAAAAAAAAAAAAAAAAAAAAAAAAAAAAACTAGTCTACGAAATACACAACTTATATCGTGCAATTGCAAATAAAACATAAATTGTTTTCATACATGGATATTGGCACTGTCAAAATATCATGAATTCTCTTTTAAGGTGAAACTGAAACTTCTATAACCTTGGTAAGCACATCACATGGGCGTTGCCATAACTTAAACGATTTTCACAGGTTTCCGGGCTGGACATGTCAAATCCTCCTTCGGCATTGAGGCACTCTACACTTCGATGTTCTACTGCCAGAGCGGCAAGATTACGGTGTTGACACTTAGGACCCCTACGTGAGTCATGTTCACGTAGATAACTTCGTATCGGGCAGTGCCTGGTTTGCAGCGTTTGGGCTGGGGGGGGGGGCGGTGGGAGAAGTACTAGCGTAACACATGTGTTCCTGCTCTTTTTTTTGGGGGGGGGCCTAAGCTTACGCTCCCTTAGGGCCCGGGTTAGCACTTTCCAGGCATGTCAAATTTCCTGGGCGTCCCCATGTCCTAGACCTCTGACGTGGACTGTGTTGGGCACTCGGTCGGCCAGCACTATAATATCTCTGTCACCTCCCTACAAAGGCAGAAGCTCAGGTCACGAAGAGTTTTTAAAACTATTTAAATAGATTCCAGTTGGAAAATGTTCTGTTCTCATGTTGCCATTGAGATTCTGGTGACCGCCCTTTAATCACCACCATTGATCCCATAATTTAGGCGGTGACATGTTCAAGGAAAACATTCGAGCCGTGTCTCCGTTTTCCCAATTCTTAAACCATTCTTCCCGAAATTCTCAATCACTTTCGGCTGAAACCGAAATAAAACCGAAAGTTAACTTTTAAGTCTTGACCGAGCCTAATTTTTTTCCGAAAATTAACTTTTAACATGGTTTGACCACATCGGTCAGTTTGGTTGTGGCTGGTTGCCAAGCTAACGTGTCGGTTCTTTCATTTTGGAGGTAATCTTGCGTCTCCACGGAACCAGTACAGTTCCACACTACTTCATAGGACTTTATTTCTCATGCTACATGTAGAGTTGCATTGAACATTTTCGTGTCCCTTGAGCACCAACTCACATTTCGAGAGCAACCTGACAATCGTTAAACACTTCGATGGGCAAAAATGGTTCTCTTTTAGCTAATCGCTGGAGTACTTTTTTAAGTGACATAAGTATAGCTTGTAAGTTTTGCTCATAAATATAGTTCATAAGTATAGCTCATAAGTATAGCTCATGAGAATAGCCCATAAGTATAGCTTCAATTTCTGAATCGGGGCCTATGTTATACTTCCCAGTCACTCTCAGAATCTCCTCTGTTAGAGACACCCCCTTCTGTTAAAGAATGAGTGCACCGTATCTAACTTTATTTTCGCTCGTGTGAAGTCTGTGTCTCTGAAGTTTGTGTCTGTGAAGCCTGTTTCTGTGAAGCCTGTGTCTGTGAAGTCTGTGTCTGTGAAGTCTGTGTCTGTTAAGCCTGTGTCTGTGAAGTCTGTGTCTGTGAAGCCTGTGTCTGTGAAGTCTGTGTCTGTGAAGTCTGTGTCTGTGAAGCCTGTGTCTGTGGAGTCGCTTAAGACTTTGACCACGATATCCTTGTATGCATCAATCGTCCTTAAAGTGGCGTCTATTTGGGCAACAAGAGAACGACGTTGTAACCTCCGCATTTACCCATGTCAGTCGCACATCAAGAGTTTCAAACGTTCTTTTGGTCATCAATTTGGGATCAACCGCATCTTCTCTCCGTTTTCGGGTGAATGGAGCTTTCTCTCAAGTTCGTGGACTGCGTCCATAAAAGAGGATCTTTTAAAAGTTTCCGGCTTACCCACCGATCTTACGATTGAAAATAGCGTTACGCTTTCCACTGTGGCTCAATTTCGGCGGGTAGCGGGACACTGGGGTTGCAACTATGATGGTGTAGCTGGAATTTTGGGTGCAATTTCACGCCCATATAAGTTGATGCATGGTCCAATTTGAGCTTCTTCCCACAGATTTCTCTTTTAAAGACTTTCTCAAATTTGTAAATACTGAGAACATAATCCTCTCCACAATATGCACCATTTAAATTTTTTAGCACATTCGACTTCCTCTATCCGCTGGCTCTGTAGCTGCTGAATCTTTTTGCAGAGCTGCAGATCACTAGATTATCTGCGGACATCGCATTTGATCTTTCCAAATTTGACTGCAATTTGTATACATACGCCAGAAATAGGTTGCAGCCCAAGTCGTATAGCTGCGGTTTTCGTATATAAATTCGAAACCATATCTCCAACTCTCGTGATTATGGATCAATTTTATAAGAACACGTGTTTCCAATTTTGCAGATTACCTGTGACACCAAAATGCTTACATTTGTTCATCAGACCAACCCTCCAGAACTATCGCCAGCTTACACTCCAGCCCACCCTCAGGACCTATCCTCAAGATCTACCCGCCATACCTACATTCTTGACGTACGCACCATACCTACCTCCTAGGCCTACCCACCATACCTACCTTCTAGACCTACCCACCATAACTATCTTCTAGACATACACACACCACCTTCCTTCTAAACCTACTCACCATACCTACCTTTTAGACTTACCCCCATACCTACCTTCTAGACTTATCCCCCATACCTACCTTCTAGACCTACCCCACATACCTATCTATTAGACATACACACAACACTTTCCTTCTAGACCTACCCACCATACCAAACTTCTAGACTAGACCTACCCACCATACCAAACTTAAACTTCTAGACTAGACCTACTCACCATACCTACCTTCTCGACCCAGCCACCCAGGTGGGTGGCCAAATGGTCAAACTGAGCAAACCTCAAGTTGGTGGTCTGGTGTTCAAGTCCAGCCAAAGGCCAGTCAAGCAAAAACATCACCCCGGGTGGATGACACTCGTTAACCTTAGTCGGCAACTCATCTAAGAGAAGGAAACTCTGAATTCAAACCCGGAGTTGGAGTCCCGTAAGGCACAAACAATGACAATTCCTGCAACCGAACCCATCCCTGGTCGTCTTGACGTAGAGTCTAGCCACTGGATATGGTGGGCTCGGACGAGAGAGTGAGGTAGACGCCACGCAACTCTTCTTCACTTTAAACAAAGACACCCGCGCAAGTCATCAGTCACCAGACGACTCGATGGTCCTCGTCGATCCTCGACGGAAGAACAATAATACCTTCTCGACATACTCATTATACCTACCTTCTAGACCTACTTATCATACCTACTTTCTAGACCTACCCACCACCCCTAACTTCTAGACGTACCCTACTTCCATTACGATGATGGAGTGGGGGGACGCCCATTGTAGCTATTTCGTCTCGCATGGGCGTGTCCCCGACCTCGGCACACAAGGGGATCACCTCCCCAACCCAGGACCAGTGTTTTCCCCCCTCACTAACCTGTCCCCAGACATTGATGAAAAGATAGCGAATGACATGCCAGCTCCACATCTGAAAGTCAATTTGTGCCTGGACTTCCACTACCTAAACCCATTTTTTTCGTCGCCTGACTCTTTCGTCCAAGGAGTCATTCAGTTTTCGCCCAAATAAAGAAACGAAAAACTCATAGGAACATTAAGTAGGAGAAACGTTCTTTTTTTTTTTAATTTGGGGAATTATAATCTACTAGATGTACCTGCCAGACATTGGCGACAGCAATAATCTAACTTCCCATCTACTAGATGTACCCGCCAGACATTGGCGACAGCAATGCGTTAACTCCCCATCTACTAGATGTACCCGCCAGACATTGGCGACAGCAATGCGTGAACTCCCCATCTACTAGATGTACCCACCTGACATTGGCGACAGCAATGCGTTAACTCCCCATCTACTAGATGTACCCGCCAGACATTGGCGACAGCAATGCGTGAACTCCCCATCTACTAGATGTACCCGCCAGACATTGGCGACAGCAATGCGTGAACTCCCCATCTACTAGATGTACCCGCCAGACATTGGCGACAGCAATGCGTGAACTCCCCATCTACTAGATGTACCCGCCAGACATTGGCGACAGCAATGCGTGAACTCCCCATCTACTAGATGTACCCGCCAGACATTGGCGACAGCAATGCGTGAACTCCCCATCTACTAGATGTACCCGCCAGACATTGGCGACAGCAATGCGTGAACTCCCCATCTACTAGATGTACCCGCCAGACATTGGCGACAGCAATGCGTGAACTCCCCATCTACTAGATGTACCCGCCAGACATTGGCGACAGCAATGCGTGAACTCCCCATCTACTAGATGTACCCGCCAGACATTGGCGACAGCAATGGGTGAAGTCCCCATCTACTAGATGTACCCGCCAGACATTGGCGACAGCAATGCGTGAACTCACCATCTACTAAAGTTACTTGACAAAAACGTGAACTCAAGTTACGCACCTTTAAGAAGAATCCCAATTTTGCTACACCCCTCCCCCCCCTTTTTTTTGTTTCATGATACGTCGCTGCACACTTGTTATTCCACGCCCATGAACTCTATTAATACTCTCATGCCCTAACCACTTTTAAACCGAATATTTTTTTACTCAATACTTAAATTGAGACGATTTCATTTCCGAAAAGAAAATATTACGCACCAAACGCAATTGCGTTATTAAAAATAGATATATATCATGTAGCTTAGTTATCGGGAATTATATTTTGCCCGCTAGTGAACTCATTATATAACCACACTCTGGCGTATCTATATATAGCCTGCGTGGTGGTGATGGTGTTTGACTTTTGCTGGCGAATAACTTATATAAAATGTTTAAAATGATATTTGTTTAATATAACATATGTTTCTTATCATATGAGCATGATAATCACAGATAATAACCCACCTTTTTTGCGGACTAGCCCCATAATCATCTTGACATTGCTCCAGTGTTCCGCCGCAGTCTGCTGTCTCAGGCGGTGTGGTTGGGTCCGTCTGTCCACAGGAAGAATTAAAAGCTTGGGACAGAAAAATACAAATGTGTCTCCCAGCAACAGTTTGGGAATATTAACTATGAAAACACGATTCGGTTGATTCTTCAAATCTATGTTTACAAGACGCCGTTGACAAATATTTACAGAACACGCGCATATTTAAACGTAAAACTAAGTTAATTGTGTACCGAATGAAACCTTGAAAAATAAACCACAAGCACAGCAGCCAAGACTTACTTAATGTAACAAGAAAGAAGACAATGCTACAGTTCATCTTGAAAATGTATTATCTTCCTGTGTAGTACGTCACACAAACCAAAGGACCGAATCTCTCTGACACTTGTGACACCCGTGACGCTTGTCCTCAAACTGCTACAAAGTAAATTTAATCCGTGGACCATTCAAAACAGGCTCTAAAATTATACAGACGAAAGACGTACGGAAGATTTAAATTCAGGCTCCACTTTCATGTCCCATATCTCTATCCTATAACGTTAGTTGAATAATGTATCTATTCCGTTATTTATAAATACAATTACCTTGTTGCCGTTTTAAAAGTAAGGGCTTACTCTGATATCATTTATAATTATAAATACATGTCCCTGTTCAAACTGGTGGAATATCTTTGAAAGGGGTGAATAATTTTGAACATTGAAAAACAAGGACTCTCAAATTACGTAAAACATCATGATAACTGAGATATGTGATGATAAAATTTTGAATATAAATATTTTATTTGAGGTGAAAATATCGTTCCATAAAATTAGAACACAAATTAAAATTAACAAATAGTTTTGGATGAATATTAGTTTTGGGTCATTTGACACCGTCTTATAACATAAGATAATTAAGCACTTTCTTTGGATGACCTGAGAATTATTTTAAAATGGATTCCAACCTTTACCGTGCAACATCCCATGTCAAGAAGTAAAATAGTTTTGTAAGCAATGTCGATAACTGCGTCAAACAACTATACTTTAGTTATCATCGACACTAAAATGTTGGTGACATTGACTACCACTGCAGACAGTTTATGACACAGAGTCACGTGTCCCCACTTCTGTGTGTGTTCGTAACTTTTGTTTCAGTGACGTCACAAGGACGAGGTATTGTAAACTTCTCCCCACAAGTCTGCTACAAGGTCGAGTTTGGGGAACTTTTTGGTCCGTTGATCACCACAAATGAGTAGCGCCTCAAAATTGGCACATGTGTGTAGCGTGTCAAAGTTGGCACACATGTGTAGCGTCTTAAAGTTGGCACTAGTGTGTAGAGTATCAAAGTTGGCACTTGTGTGTAGCGTCTTAAAGTTGGCGTATGTGTGTAGCGTTTCAAAGTTGGCACTAGAGTGTGGCGTCTCAAAGTTGGCACTAGTGTGTAGCGTCTCACGGTTAGAACACGTGTGTAGCGTCTCAAAGTGTTGGCACTAGTGTGTAGCTTCTCAAACTTGGCAGACATGTGTAGCGGCTGAAAGTGGGCACTAGTGTGTAGCGTTTCAAAGTTGGCACATGTGTGTAGCAGCTCAAGGTTGGCACTAGTGTGTAGCGTCTCAAACTTGGCACACTTGTCTTGTACTTGAAGTTGACACACATTGCCACTAGTGTGTAGCGTTTCAAAGTTGGCACATGTGTGTAGCAGCTCAAGGTCAGCACTAGTGTGTAGCGTCTCAAACTTGGCACACTTGTCTTGTACTTGAAGTTGACACACATTGCCATTTTACAAATAAATCAGTTAGATTTCCCTTATAGTGATATAGTCAGTCTGACGATTAGTTTGTATATTTCTTTGCATGTTTTGTGAAAAATGTGAAAAAACATGCAAACACAAAATGCTCTTTATAAGAAGACCCAATTATATTAGAGCCCCCCCCCCCCCTCAGCGCTCGCAACCGCACATTTTCGTCACGCCCCTGAACTATATTGATAATATATAACCCGTCCGCTTGTACACCATAGATTTAGTTCAACAATTCTTTCAGAATAAACAAAAGAAAAATATTACGCATCAAACGCACTTGCGATATTTTTAAGAATCTCATTTATTTCAGTTATCGGAAATTAAAACAAAATTAATAATATAAATATTACCTTTACCTTATTTGTTTTTCCTGAAACCTTGTATCTTTGATTTAGCCTTATTGAAAATTATTTTTTGGAAATATAGGACAGGTAGGTCATCATGTAGCTGTGAGCTGTTTTCGCCGAGGAGTAGTCATACAACATTCGATGACAGAAAACTCCGAGCATTAATTAATATCGGATCGTCCGCCTAAAAATAGCCAATCAGTCTGACTTTTGGTTCATGACTGAAAGTATCAATTACTTTTGGCCAGATGGCCGAAAGTCTCAATCACTTACGGCCAAAACCGAAATAAAACCACAAGTTAACTTTTCACTTTCGGCCGAAACCGAAACTACGCCGAAAGTGATCAAGTGGCAACTTTCGGCGCCGAAACCAAAACCAAAGCTGAAAATCGGTCGGGCTCTAATTTAAACATGACGTCACTGAATCGAGTTAGCAGCGGGGACGAAACAGTATGTTGTGAAAACAGCCCTCAACGGGGTAACAACTAGTTGACCTACATTGGAATGTGACAGGCTACAAATGTAACTTGTTGACCTACATTGAAATGTGACAGGCTACAAATGTAACTTGTTGACCTACATTGGAATGTGACAGGCTACAAATGTAACTTGTTGACCGACATTGGAATGTGACAGGCTACAAATGTAACTTGTTGACCTACATTGGAATGGGACAGGCTACAAATGTAACTATTTGACTTACATTGAAATGTGACAGGGTACAAGTGTAACTATTTGACCTACATTGGAATGTGACAGGCTATAAATGTAACTAGTTGACCTACATTGGAATGTGACAGGCTACAAATGTAACTTGTTGACCTACATTGGAATGTGACAGGCTACAAATGTAACTTGTTGACCGACATTGGAATGTGACAGGCTACAAATGTAACTTGTTGAACTACATTGGTATGGGACAGGCTACAAATGTAACTATTTGACTTACATTGAAATGTGACAGGCTACAAATCTGTTAGCTGAGTGGGAGATGAGCTGGGACATGGAATTTCACCCTGCCAAGTGCCAGACACTATCAATCTTTAGAAGTTGTACTCCTCTACACTACCAATACAAACTGCACGGCCATATTCTTGAGCAAGTTTCGTCCGTAAAGTACCTGGGTGTTACCATTCAAAGAGAGGTCCGCTGGGACGAGCATATTAACAATGTATGTAACCAAGCAAACCAAGCCTTGGGGTTCTTAAGGCGAAATCTAAAGATTGGCAACTCCTGTGTGAAAGAAAGAGCATATAAAGCCTTTATCCGTCCGATTTTAGATTATGCATGTTCAGTCTGGGACCCATTTACCCAGAAGAGCATTGACAGGTTGGAGGCGGTCCAGCGACGAGCAGCACGCTTTGTCCTAAACCGCTACAGGAATACCTCTAGTGTTGGCAGCATGCTAGAAACACTAGGCTGGTCACCATTGGAGAAACGACGACAACAATCCAGGCTCTCCATGATGTACAAGATAAATAATGGGCTGGTCCACTGTTCCAGTACTAAACAGAAACTCGTCCCTCTCCCCCATAGACAGCGACGAGGCCATGACAGGCAATTCAGGCTCATACCAGCAAGAAGCCAGTATAGGAGCAGCTCATTCCTGCCCAAGACAATCAGGGACTGAAACCATCTTTCAAAAGGAACAGTTGAGGCGACAACACTAGACACATTTGTGTCTATTGCCTCAAGCCTTCAAATCCCTAGTGCATAATTTCCTCATTACCACCAGTAACAGAAACATTGCAAATCCCATCTACATGCATAGGAGCCAAAATGATCAATAAATTGATCGTGGGCCCTTAAGATATTGAAGAAGAAGAACTATTTGACCTACATTGGAATGTGACAGGCTACAAATGTAACTAGTTGACCGACATTGGAATGTGACAGGCTACAAATGTAACTTGTTGACCTACATTGGAATGTGACTGGCTACAAATGTAACCAGTTGACCTACATTGGAATGTGACAGGTTACAAATGTATCTATTAGACCTACATTGGAATGTGACAGGCTACAAATGTAACTAATTGACCTACATTGAAATGTGACAGGCTAAAAATGTAACTAGTTGAACTACATTGAAATGTGACAGGCTACAAATGTAACTTGTTGACCTACATTGGAATGTAACAGGCTACGAATGTAGCTTGTTGACCTACATTGATATGTGACAGGCTACAAATGTAACTATTTGACTTACATTGAAATGTGACAGGCTACAAATGTAACTATTTGACCTACATTGGAATGTGACAGGCTACAAATGTAACTAGTTGACCGACATTGGAATGTGACAGGCTACAAATGTAACTTGTTGACCTACATTGGAATGTGACAGGCTACAAATGTAACCAGTTGACCTACATTGGAATGTGACAGGCTATAAATTTAACTTGTTGACCTACATTTAGAAGTCGTTTGAATCAACAAATAACGGATCCGTAACTCTCTCTCTCTCTTCCATGACTTCACCGTGTCCACCACAAGGAATATGTGTTACACACTAGTCTTTGAACCAAGACGTGTTTTCTATGACATACATTAAAAAAAGCAGAGCTCTCTTACTACAATTGACACAATTTTAGATTTAAAGTTATACATTACATGGCAGACTGGCACACGACAAAATAAACTAAGTTATGATACCGAAATTCCGAGTATTTTCTTTCTTCTTCCATATATATTAAGGGCCCACGATCAAATTATTGATAATTTATGGCTCCTATGTATGTAGGGGGGATTTGCAATGTTTCTGTGCCTGGTGTTGATTAGGATATTTCACTGATCGCCAGTGCCACTTAATGAGGGTATCATGCACTGGGGGTTGGAAGGCCTGAGGCAAAAGACGCAAATGTGTATAGTGTTGTTGGCTCAACTGTTCCTTTTGAAAGCTTGTTCCAAGGTCTTGAAACATTGATAACATCAACGAAATAACAGTAAAAAAAATCCATTCATTGAAATGTCCGAACAATGACTGCCTCATCTCCCCTACCCCGACACCATACTGATTCATAACATACAGGTAACATTTTCTAGCACTTGCCACTGCTATCAAAGATGTTCTTCTTATCGCTACCGATAGCATACTAACACTAACCTCCTTTTCTCACTCTTGTAAGATGACTGGACATGGTAATACACTGAGTTACAAAAGATGTTTTTTTTTACTGTTACATCATCCTGTAACGAAATGAATGATATCTGCATAGAGCGTCACTTTCAAATTTGTAAAGGGAGGCTAACATGAATATTTAATTTCGATCAATATTTGTCATTGGTTTCCCTTTCGGATTGAACTCGTAGACACCAAATCATATTGTTGCATTATATTTTTCCTTAAATAACCCAAATATTTTCATTACTAGGGCTTAGCCGAGTGCAGTTCTTTTACCTTGGTATTTACGTGTCCAAGTGTTTCAAAAACAGGTAACTTGTCATTTTCTATAATTTGCGATAAAATCTACCGCCCTGTGTCGTAGTGAGAGTTCATTGCCTTCGTCAACCGTTTGTGTCAACAAATAACCCACTGACAGGAACAGGCAGCTGCCGGATCCCGGAATAGAGATGACGTTATTCAAAAACTCGTCGACAGAGAACGCGCTGTCGTTGATTTTATAACAAAGACTTAGGCAACAACAGTCGCAGTGTAACGAAAATAGCAATACCTTCCTGTACCAGGCTATGGCAAAACTCACAGTCGCACACATGTTTATTGTTAATGATTTATTTCATGAGTGTTTTTTTTTCAGATTATGTTTTGAAATATTTTCTTTGCTTAGTTAACTAATTATACAAGCGTTGGACTGCGATAAAGCTTTAGGTAGATTAATGAGACACACAAAAATTGCGTAAATAAGACAATATACGTTCATCTAAAATTATGAATTGGCCAAATACACATCTAAATATTTCGCCAAATGCCTTAATCGGTA